CTAATATTATTTATTTTTACAAAATAATAAATCTATACAAAATTTTATTTGTAATAATAATATTATTTATTTTTCTTTTACCAAATATATATATATATTACACATATTAAGAAAAAAAAAACTCAAATGTGTTTCTAAATTTATAGTTCAAACAATTAGTAAAAATCATCTAACTTAACCATATGTTATCTAAAATGTGAAAAGAAAAAGAATATTTTCTATATTATTTTTAAGATCTATATATTTCATAAAATATGAAAGGTTTTTTTCTTATTAAAAGGTTTTGTAACTCAATAAAAAATAAATCTTATATTCAATCCAACTTCATTTTTTTTAGAACCACACATTAAACTTAAAAAAGTATCTTAATATTTTTATTTATCAACCTATGACGAAGAGAAAAATTCAAAAAATAGTATTATAAAATTTCAAAATTTTCTATACGGTGAACAAAAATCAAAATATATATATATATTCTCGAGACCTAGATAAATTACAAAAAGTAATGATAAGTAATCATAAGATAGAGTAAAAAATTATTGATAAATTTTATCTTCTAAATCATAATTGGTTATTTAGATAACATGATTTATATAATGGTCACATATATGTACGTAAATTTTTTTTTTTAAACTAAATAAATGAGAAGTATCGATATCGAAGTCATTGGTAATCACTTCATATATTTAAGCTTTATTAATACTAAATCACAAAATTAATCTATTCTATTTTAAATCAAATATGAATTTGTAACTACAAAAAAATTAGTTGTTTTATCATACATAAGTACTAAACTACTAAATAAATAAAATTATTTAATTTAATAAGTTTTAAAACAAAAATTCGCGCGAATGCGCAGATCATATCCTAGTAATAAAAAATAACAGAACAAGAACGAGAGAAGAGAGACGTTTTTCTGCAGAGAACCAATTCTCACAATTTAAGAGCTTTATCTGCCGTGTGTCCTTATACTATTGGTTCACTATTTTGTTTATAGTTAGTTAATTAC